CACAGCTGCTTGACCACTTCGGCCGCCAGTACCCACCCCAAGGGCAGAGACCATGCTGCTTGATGACCTCAGTTCTCCGTGTCAGCATAGCCTATCTGGCACCAAGGGGCTGCAGGAACGGCATCAGGGGGGGGAGTGAGAGGCTGGATGAATGGACAGGTGACCTGGCATGCATCCAGGCTTGCTGTCCTGCCCATGTTTGCAAATGAATCTGCACCCTCCAGAAATGGGCCCGGCCCCAGGTGTCGGAGGAGAGGCCTTGTAGCCTGAGGTTCAGCCCAGGGCAAGACCCAAGACAGAGAGAGAGAGTGTGCTTATCAGGGAGAGAGGCCTTCTGCAAAGGCAAGGGGACCAAGGGATGGAGGGAGGAGAGAAAGGAGGGGAAGGGATGCAAAAGGAATTGAGACACACAGTCCTCGCTCCCTGCTCACCTTCTGCGCTACAAACGTACAAATAAAACTCAAAATTGCAAAACATAACTGAAGACTTTTGGGGAGGCCCTGTCCTTCCCCCTGAATAAACAATCTTTTTTTTTAAGTTCATTTCTCTAGACAGACGAATAAAAAACGCTTTAAAAGAGTGACCAAAAAACCCAGAACTTAAGTGTACTGTAAAACAAAGTATTGCTCGAAGTTAGAAAGGCTGGAATACAACATGTAATTCTCAACGACTTTTCTTTAAAAATGAGGCCGCTAATTGCCCATAGCTTGTGTTTTTTTATACTCTGATTTTAGAAGTTTTCAAAAAAAACCCTCCCACTGTCCCCATGTATTGGAATCAGCAACAAGTAACATTTCTTCCTAGAATATAAAACAGGAAAATAGCTCATGTGTGTCACACACAATTTTTTCTTTTTTAATGTTCTGGAGAGACAGAATTGTGGGCAATGGAAAACTGAAAATGCTCCAATTTCAGGATGAGTCAGCAGATAACTTCGCCATGATGGGAACTGGGACACTGTGCTGACCGCACAAACCTACTTCAATGGGAACTTGCCTGTTTCTTGACCTGCAGGAAGACCTCTTGAGGTGACCCGGCCAGCTCTGTGCCTGTGGAAATTTACTAGGACCAGAGCATGATGCTCTCAGACAACATCTATCCTGGGAAAGGACTGGGGCTCAGTGGGGTGTGATTGCCTCCAGGCTCCCCATCCTACTCTCCCTCCCAGTCCTGCCTTTCCTGTTAGGGAATTGATCATGTTAAGGTACTTTGCAACACCGCCATTTTTAAATCAGACCTCTGGGTTCTTCTACCCCTGAAACCTGTCTTAAGTTTCTTTGTCCCCCAAAACCATGCCAAACCCCTAGTCTAGAGCTCCAGCAAGGCGTGAATTTTAAAAGACAACATGCCTTGCGATAGGTTAAGGATAGTCTACCCAGCCCCTATGGGAGGCCCTTTCCAATAAAGCCATAAATAGTCCTTAACCTCCCCATCCCCCCCCTCCTGCCTCCTCTGCCCCTTCGCTCCCCTAAATAAAATCTCCAGTCAGACCTCTCGGTGTGCGTGGCCTAGTTGTTGAGCATCGCTGTTCCCTTTCCTTTCCCACAGGGTGCCAGCTGCGGGGCACAGCTGCCAGTTTTTAATTGGAAAGTCTCAGATTTGTAGGAGACCCATCAACACCTGTTCCTGCTTACCTCTTTCTAACCCTTCTTCTCCCTTCCCTCCCCAGTCTTAATTGCCCCTCGTTCCCAAGGAGAACTGCTTCAGCCAAGGAGTCTTAATCTTCAGCAGCTTGTTTACTCATAGACAGGAAGTGGGGAAGGCAAAGAGGAGGAAAGAGGGGACAAGAGACGGCGCTGGGCACCCAAGAGGCTGTGGCATTTCCTACTGCCTTCTTATTGTTGAGAGGACACTGCCTGGTATGTAAGTTACCTATGTGCGTCCAGCTGACAAAAGAAAATTCCCAGTGAAAGTTGGGCCTAGAGAATGCATACCTAAGAGTGTGGAAATCCTGAGGCATCGGCAGCAAAATAATCAGTAACTCTTCAGCTTCCTCCATGTTGTTGCCTCAAATTTTCATTTAGCTCAAGCTGAATTTGCTTGTTAAAGTGACGTAAATGCCGAACACTGCCCAATTTACTGAAGGAAGACCAGGGCCAGCGAGAGTTGAAAAGATGGTATCTTTTTCTGGTCTCAAGCCCAGGGCTCAGCAGACACAGACACTCTGGTCACTATGCTGGTCCCTTCTGCCCCAGCCCAGCAGGCTTCTCCTTTCCTGGGAGAGCAGCTCTCCTGGGGTCCCCTCCACTTCTCTAACTGGTGTGTGTTTTTGTGGGGCCTGGGGTAGAAGGAAAGTCAGTGCAGGGTCCCCACAGGCTCAGAACTTACTGCATTTCTCCGCAGGACCTCCATGGAAGCGTAACTCGAGTGTGTGTCTTACCAAGAAAAGCTGCTGGCCACTGTTGTGCCTTGGGAGATGGAAGGCAGTCACTCTAGTCAGACAGTTCTGTTGTTTTCCTGTAGTACTCGAATGGTCTTGGTCACGCGGGCACAGCTGCTGTCCAGGGAGAAAGGTGCACCACGCAGGTCGGGTCCAGAACCCTGTGCTTTTGGTGGAGGATGGAGACAGTCCAAAGAGCCGCTCCCTAGGACATCAAGGGCTCTAGAAAGCAGCACCAAAAGAAGGACGGAGGGGTTCCAGGAGTCTAGCGGGGCTACAATCTTTCCTGCTCATCCCAGACCTTCCACCCTGGCTTTGTCGTGTGTTTGCGAGGCAACAGCCCATTCTTTGCATAAAACCCAAGAGCTCACAAGGGCTGCTTCACCTTGGGGACAAATAGGCAGAGGACTCTGCAGTCCCTGGCCTGGAGCTTGACAGCTGAACCAACCCACTGGTTGGAAATACCACTAATTGGGGACAGGTGGGGGTCATTGTCACTGGACCAACAAAAATGTAGGGACCGCATGGACCTCCATCAGTTAAATGGGTCCTACAAGTGACATATGCCACTGTCACTCAGAAGACCCTTCTATTTTACTGTCCACTTTTCTGCCAATGTTGGAGGAATGGGAGACGAGGCTGCTCGGTAGGCGTGCTTTACCAGTTGGGAAGTGCTCGGCGTAGGTCTCGGGATGCTCACCGCTGGGGCACATGTGCACACTTCCCACGCACCAGGGCCCACCCGCAGCCTGGACTTCAGAGCCAAGGCCACACTGGCCATTCAGCACAGATGTTTGCTGTAAGGAACAGTCCAGACCCAAAGGGCCAAGATACCTGACATTCACATTTGACAGCACGGTGATACTTCATGGTGCTGCGATTCTGCGGACTGGTTAAGGGGCGTGGACCCTAGAACCATGCTGTCTCTGCAAACCCCGACGACCACCTACTCGGTGCGTGCGTGACTGTGAGAGTGACTTCCTTTGCTTCTGCTTCCCTTCCCTGGAAGATACAATGATGGCAATGCCCACTGCCGGAAGTTGTTATAAGGATGAACTAAGTGAATGCATGAAAACTTCTAGGCTAGCCATTATTACTAGTAAACAGATTAGGGAATATAGGATAAATAATATTGTGGTGATTAGTAAAGAAAACATGACAATAACCGATAGCTATTTTGTTAGTCGACAAAATCTTCCCTTTACACCACGGAAATGTGGCTTAGGTTGAGCCAAGTCCACCCAACAGGACTCAACCTGGGATCTTGTTGTCGGGCCGGCAGTGGGAGATGTCCACTACCATCTCTAGCTCAGTGGACAGTGTGAGCCTGCAACAGCCGAGGACTGACCCAGAGACCTTCCTACAATGGAGCCATTAGAGCACACAGTTGCCCTGGGGATTTATTGCCATGCTAGAAATTTCCCCAACCTTAAAATAACCAATGTGCAGTACATCCCAGAGTTGCTGAGGGTCCAGCACCCAGGGGCAGTAATTCTGGATGAGGGTCTCTCTCTCTTGAGGTTGTGAACAGGAGCTTCAGTCACCTGGAGACCTTGCTGGGGCTGGATCCACTTCCAAAGTGGCTTCGTGTCGCTATTGGCAGGTTAAACTTCAGTTTAACACCACACGAGACCCTGCAGTGCTGCCTGCTTCACAGAAGCTGGTTTCCTCCAGAGAGAATGATGGGAAAGAGGAAAGACAGGGGGAGAAGCCAAGTCTTTTACAACCCAATCTCAGAAGGAACATAGTACTTTTCTTGCCATGCTATATTGAACACACAGACCAACCTCAGCACATGGTACCATGGGGAAGAGGGACTGTACAAAGGTGACATTATCAGAAGGTAAGGGTGGACCTCTGGGATCATCTATAAGAAGGCTACCACAAGGAGAGAACCAAGAGAGCGAGGAGGAGATGCTCACTGACCCTTCGTGGGTCCCTGAACCATCTTGGTCTTGTGTGAATCAGCCACTACCTTTTTGTGTTTAAGTTGTGGGCTATTTATGTTTTGATTTCTGTTTGTTTGAGTTTTTTGATCCGTTGCTTCAAAAGGTTCTTAAGTAGTCCAATTGCTAATTCCTACTGAACACTTAATCAGTGGCACCAACATGGGTGTTCAGGCTCTAGAGAAAACCTGCTTCGGGCCTGCTAAGGAAAAGCTCTACCATTGAGCTACATCCCCAGCCCCAATTTCCTTTTCCCAGATGAAAACAGCACTGAGGCCAAGAAAAGTTGCATGGCTTGGTGAAAAGTGAAGCTATGATGGTGTGAATCTTCACTGTCCCCAAAGGTCATGTGTAGAAGACTTGGTCTTCAGCTGGTGGTACCAGTGGGAGATGACGAAAATTTCCGGGGAGGGGCCTAGCGAAGGAAGTGAGGTCACAGGCAAGGGGGGTGTCTTTTGGGGAGGAAGTGAAGTCAAGGAGGGTGTGTCCATTAAGAGAATACCATTTGACTCTGTCTTGCTCTCACTCTGTTTCACTTCCTGCCCACCATGATGTGAGCAGCTTTCCTCCCTGCAGGGTCCTCGCAGTCCCAAAGCAATGAGACCCAGGCAGGTCCTGGGTGACAGCTCAGAACTGCAGCTTGAGCCATACGGGCCACCCCATGTATACACAGCCTGGGCTGCACTGGAGGGGAAGGGTGGGTGGGAGAATGAGGAACGGTGTCCCCTGCCTTGACCCTGGACGGTGAAGGACTCCTGCCTTCTGCTTTGTGGCTGTGCTAATGATGTGGCTGTTAAGGAGGACGAATTGTGTATTTGCACCGCTCCTCCCACTCCGCTCCTTCTCCCTCATCGCCTCCCCCTGCCCAGCTGCCTTGGGCATCAGCACAATGCTTGTCACACGGTGCAGAGATCCTGGTGGTATAATGGACTCTTCCCAGCCCAATGCTGGTGGGATCTGCTGCACGGCAGACCCGGCATCTAGAGCACTTAGTGGGATTTGCTCAAGGCAAATTGGGGTTTCCCAGAAGTGCGCAGGGGTTTTCTCTAGAGCCTGAACACTCCAAGGCTCTGCAGTCCCCAAGATACCCCTGTGTGGCATTCGCTGGGTAAACATGAACTAAACTAGCAAATTAAAAGATCAGGAAGGAATAGAGGACCACTGCTAGGCTGCCGCTTGGCTGTCCAGGAGCAGCTGAGCAGAGCTGTCCTCCTCCCAGAAGTTGGCGGGATGACCTCAGAGTGTTGGGAACTGAGTGCTGCGTTCTGCATTTCCCAGTCCGAGTTTGTGAACTACCGAACTAAGGGTAGCAGAGATACCTCCAGAGAAATTAGGGGTTTGCAGAAGCAGTGTGAACAACTCAGAGCCACTGGGTTCTCATAATAGAACCTGGCTCAGAGTGTTGGAAAGTGCCCTTTGCACTCTACCTGTCCCCCTGTGTCCTCTTCTGGGCTTTGTTTCCGTCCCCCCAGTGCCCCACGGAATGGGCGGATGGCTGTCGACTCACAAGCACTGGCGACATTCCAGAGAGGTGGGCGCTGTGCCATGCAGGCACAGATGACTTCCACAGCCTGGAGTGTTGCTGGGCTCCGGGTCGTTCCCGAAGGCCGGCACTCAATGGCCAATCTGCAGTTTCACCTCCCGTCTTCCCAGGTTGGTGACCAGGAGGGACAAACAGGAAGTGATTGCTGGTGCCTCCTTCCCTGTTTCCTAGAGCTACAGGAGAGCGGGGTCCCAGGAAAACCTGGGGCGTGGCAGGCAGTGGGGTACAGGTTGCAAATCACTGTTGACAGTTTTCCTTTCACATCTCAGCAGCAGGGCCACCTGTGAAAACAGAATGTGCTCAGGGTCATCTTCCAAGAACCTAAATCAAAGGCATGTGGGCATCTGGGACGGTGCCTCCTGCCTGCCAGTCCATTCCTGGCTCTGGCAGACTTGGTAAATAACCTGGTCTTCCAGTGGATTATGCAATCCCAACTCAGAAACAGTGCTGTTTGTTTTCTAGGAAATGACATTTGAGTATAGAGGCTGCACCTTAGCCATTTTATCCTGAGGGATATGGGGATAAGAACGTGGGACATGAACACATGACGTGTGTGGAATGTAAAAGAGAACTAATTCCTCGTGGCTACTTAGGGTTTTCTACCGCAAATAGAAACCAAGTGGGGCAGTATTCAATTCTAATTTCTGCAACTCCTTTTGTTTTTTTGTTTTTTGTTTTTTTTTTGTAAAGTACAATTGCAGACCTAAGCTTTGCATAACCCAAGGGATTAATCTGTGTTTATTCTCAGCTGCCAGGCACCTGTGCTTTGTCTGTTGATTAACTTTGGAAGATAAAAGTCAATATACAGTATTGGTGTGACTGCACCTGAGGAAATACTGCTCCCTGCTGGGCCAAGTAGTTGTAGAAAATCACATTTTGTTCCCCAAAGGCCTTTTGGGATACATAGGGGAGACATTCTTAGCATTGAGGACAAATGGATTCTCATGGATTCTCATTTCTTACACAATAGGAAGTGCTTAAAACCATACCTCTTTGTTATTTCCTTCTTGGTTGGCTCAGGATGGCCTGGTCTTTGTTTTTGCATCTTCTGTCATGTCCAAGGGTTGTGTCAGAGGCATGGGCACTGTGCACTGCTTACCACCTTGTTTCTATGCAGCAAGTCACACAAAGCAGATTTGTTACTTTCTGATAAGCAGTAAGGGGCAGCAGAGCCCAAGGGTCATTGCAAGCAGGTCCCCATTGCCCGGGCAGTTGGGAATCAAGGGTGCAGGTCCAACTGGCAACATGGAAGAACCAGGCAGAGATCACTCTGGGCTTTGTAGCCCAGGGAGACTGGGATCCTGGGCTCAAACCCTGAGAAACATGCTGACCTACAGGAGACCCGAAAGATCCTAGGCTGAGCCAGGCAGTCCATCCACTTGGGATGTTGCGTGCCGCCAGCTTGAGGACAAGAGAAGAAAGAGGAGCCTGTGGCATGTGCCCACGGCATGGACCCAGTGCCTATAGCTTAGCTGCTCAGGTAACTGGCAAGGTCAGCTGGGCCCAGGATCCAAGATCAGCCTGGGCAACGTAGTGAGACGGAAGGAAGGGGAGAGGTCCAAGCTCACTCAGAGAGTGGTTTGCACCTCGACTTTTTCTTTTTTATTAAAAAAAAAAGTGACATTATGATTTCCTTGAATTTTCCCACCCGCTGAGTCATGGCTTCCCCAAGCAGCCTCCCCTGCTGTTTCACAGCGGGCATCTAAGACCCCCTCACTGTGCTTTGTGATTAGGTCCCCTGTTTTCTGAACCCCACACTTCTTCCTTTTTTTTCTTTGTCTTGGTTTTCCTGATGTACATTTTTAAATCACGTCAAGCACAAATACCCTGGCTTGTGTGGAAAGATCTTTATTTTGGTCTAACTCTTCTTGGATAGTTTGGTTACATTCAAGATTCAAACTCCTCAGCCTCAAACCCACCTTCACAGGTAGAATTATGAGTATACTTTCATAAGCATTGTTTCTCAAAATATGAAGGGGCGATTCGAAAAATTCTGTTGTGATTCCGTCTAACCATCACGACCACCACTCCAATCAGTGAAATGGTTCTCTCCAAGATCCCAGATACCTGTTCATCTAACAATTTTTTTTCCTTTGCAGTGCTTGAAGGTGGTGCGCATCCTTGGAACTGTTGCTCTGACTTAGAATAATCAGGTATTTTCCAGCATGTGGGAACTCCAAGCCCTTGGAATTAGGCATTTTCATTGGGATGGAAGTGGTCAAAGGAAAACAAGACCAGGAATAAGTGAGAGCCAGAGGAGCTACCTGGGTGGTGAGAGGAGACAGAGAGGAATTGAGGGAAATGCTCAGAAGAAAGTACAGTGGTACCTCTGTTCAGAAGCTTAATTTGTTCCCCGATTCTGGAAAAGATGGCCACATTCATGTTTCTGCAGGAAAGATGGTCACGGTTGTGTTCATCACCCAATGCAGAGTTGCAAACAAGAGTAAAATTTTGCCAAACACTTCGATTTACCAACCAAATTTACAGTCAAAAGCATTTGGGAACGGAGGTACCACTGTATTTTCTTTCCTTCTTCTTTGTCCTCCTGACCTTTAATGGTTGCACTGCTACTGAGTCTCTCGGGTGGGGTGCCATATTGATTGGCTTTGGGCCCCAGCCGGGGGACTGGTAGAGCACCCTTCTAGGTGTCTGGGTGGGTGCTGCAGGTATGATCTTGGGTACAATCTCTGATCACTGGCCCGTCCTCTGCTTATTCTGCTTCCCAGAAGCTATGAACCAAGTTGCCCCTCTGCTCTACTGAGCCCTTCCACCATGGTGTTTCTGCCTTGCAGTCAACCAACCATGGACTGAATCCCCTAGAACCCCGAGCCAAATTAAACTTCTCCTTTTAGTTGTGGGTGTTGGGTATTATGTCCAACAGCAGGACTTTTATTCCTTCCATGGGCTGCACCTATGACTTTAAATAACACATTTCCCTCACTGTTCAGGGTTATACCAAGTCCAGAAAAGGAATGAAAAGCATCATACCACAGTAGTATATGCTCACCCATGTTTACAGTGGCACGATTTGTAATAGCTGCATCTTGGAAACGGTCCAAATTCCATCAACTGACAAATGGATAAAGAAGATGTGGGTTTTTTGTGCATTCGAGTACTGCTTACCATAAAGAAGGATGAGCTTGAGACATTTGAGCTAAATGGATGCACCTTGAGACCATAGTCTTAAGTAAAATAAATCGGACATGCATGTTTCAATGCTGCATTGTTTCTCCGGTGTGAGACCGAAAGTGGAAATCAGGACTAAAATATATAATAGATATTGGGAAATGGGACGAAAATGTTCAAGGGGGAAGAAGACTAAGGGAAGGGGGAAAGGGAGGAAGGGGCAAGAAAAAAGTGAAAATAGAAAGATGGAAACAAAGCTTTTGTATGTAGGGAGGAGAGAGGGGCAAGTGGGGGATGGGAAAAAAGAAGAGGTTAGGGTACGTGATGGACAGGTGCAAATTCGTAATGACGAGCATTATCGTTATGCATGTCTACAATGTAACACATACATTAAATAAATGTAACGTGAAAAAAGTAAGAGAGAGAGGGAGGGGGAGGGGAAGGACGGGGGGGCAGGATGGGGCAGGGGAAAGAATATTTCTGTTTTGATTCACTGTGTCCTGATAATTGTTTAGATAACCTGATAAAGAAAACTTTTGAAAAATAAAATAAAATATTTTGCTTCAAAATAAGGATTCAGAAAGAAAAGCAAAGCATTCAAGGTCTGTGAGTGCACTGGAAGGGACCATTTTTATGCTGATTTTTCACATTTCATGCCTTGCCCACCAGGAACACAATATGGCCTGGGTAGGGACCCAGGGGAACCTGCTGGCCTCTCAGCCTCTCGGGTCCCACCCCTGAGATTCCCAGGAGGTCACACCGGGGAGGGAGCTGGAACTCTGGGACAGTGGCAGACAGGACAGCTGACAGCGAGGCCCCCAGAGAAACCCAGCAGCCCCTGCGGAAGGCATGTGGACCCGCACTTTCCAAATGGGAGTTAATAAAAAGGACAGGAGAAACAGAATGGGGTACAGAGAAAAAGGAAATATTTTATGTAATTCTTTAAGGAACTACTGTAGTAGTTCACATACCAAGAAAATTAACAAGGATGGACAGGTACCCATTGTTTATCTTTTCATGTTTTGTTTGTTGTTTTATTTTGTGGTGCCAGGGATTACACACGGGACCCTTATGCCACTGAGCTACTCCCTAGCCCTGTGGACCTATTATCAAACACACAGTCAACTGTTCTATTACAAATGAGTAACAGCCATACTGAACGTGGGGGCAAACGACTACGCATGTGACTTTGCAAAACCAGATGTTAGGTGCTCTAAGAGTAAAGACAAATTATACAAACACCACACAGAAAGAAGGAGAAGGAGGAGGAGGGAGAGGAGGAAGAAGAGGAAGAGGAAGGGAGAGGGAGGAGAAGAAACAGGAGAAGGAGGAGGAGGAGCAGCGAAGTAACAGGAGTCAGAGCTGCTCGTCTCTGTACTTCCAGGTGGGGCAGACCTACGAATAGATGAGACCCAAACAGGTCAGGCCAAAGCAGCAAACCCTGCCTATGTGATGGATTTTAGTGTCCTCCGTCTACAAGTCACTTGCTACTGAGACTCAGTTCAACCTCAGGTTCAGCAGTCATTTAAACTGGCCCAATCTCCGTAGTTTTAGCTGCCAACTCATCTTGCAAATTGATAAAAAAAAAAGGGATGGGAGAGACAGCTTATACTATTTCCCTTCTTTTCTAGCTTTATCCCTTTACTTCCCCTCATTTAATTTTTTAAAAATGCCCAAAATTTTCACTAGGGAGACCATGATTTCCTTGCTCTGAGCCTGAAAGGGTGAATATATTCTTAGAAATAAAGCAGAGAGGTAGAATACAAGTGTTAAAGTAGACACAGCTCCCAGGCTGGCAGAGCTCAAGGATCTGAGGGAAATCATGCAGTCAGACACTTTCTAAATTTCTATGCTCACTGATCTTTCATCCTCCTGCCTATGTCCAGTAAAATGATAGGAAAGAAAGATTGGGCTTCGGAGCCAGGATATCGTACAAAGTCTACCAGGGGACAAGAGGGAATGAATAATGTGAGGGGATCAATGGTGAGGAAGCCAGACCCTTGAGAAGAAGGGTTGCAAAGGGTGGTGTAGACAGAAAGACACTTGGCTTTGAGTGTAAATTCCAGCATTGTGATGTTTGAAAAGAGAAATGGCCGGAGGAACAAACATCAGATGCAAGTGCTGGGATGAATTAGGACTCAGGAAAGCAAAGAGCAAGGAGAACAGGAAGAGATGGCTGCGGAAAGGAGGGTAGGCTGGAGAGCAGGACAGGACTACAGGGTGGGTCACCACAGACAATGGCAGCCCGGGGAAGGTGAAGCAATCACGGCCGAACCTGGCAGGGAGGGACCCAGCAGGGACTGAATGAGACATCTCGGGAGGGCCGGGAGGAGAGCGAGGGACCCTGTCCAGATGGCTGCCCCAGCAGTGACTCATGGTCTCCTGCAGGAGCCGCGCTCCCAGGCCCCAGGGTTGGACACCTACTTGAAATCACCAAGAAGCTTAGCAAATGAAGAACTTATTAAAAATAGGAAGAGTAGAGCCAGCTGTGATTGCCAGATGTATGACTGATGTGTGAAGTCACCCTATGGAATCTCTGCGGTCATGACAGGGCTCCCATAGATTGTGAAATCAGTCCACTTCTCTTCCCTCCTCTTCCTCCTCCTCCTCTAAAACCCTGTGGCTTCCTTTTGTTAATAACCCTCTCCAGGGAAGACCGCGGGCTTCACGTCACCTCAGGGCAATTTAACGAACTGATTGGCCTGGGGAAACTGGGAGTGACTGAGCAAAAGCTTAGAAGTTTTAGAAGCTGGTGTCTCCACCTTGAGGAAGCGAGTAGGGTGCAGGTGAGGACCGCTGTCCCCCGTGACCAGATTTCAAGGCAGCACGCGCAGGGAAAGGCAGCCCCTCCTCCTTTCTCAGCTCCAGTTCCTCGCTCACGAAATGGCAGCAGGGCCGGAACGGGAGTTGGGTTGAACCGAGAGTCACAGAAATGCCTTCTAATTCTCCTCACATCTCTGAAGTGATTTCTTAACAGGGTTTC